CTCCAAGTAAAATAAGATTGAGATTTGGTAAAAATGTTTTTCTGAAATGAGTTTATTTTTATTAGCCATGTATTGTATTAATTATAGTTAATTCATTATTCTTTTTTAGGCAATTAATCTGTTTTTTTAGTAGAACGGTGTGATGGATAGAACGGCTGGGCTGGGTTAGTTTTGTTTTGTTTTTGACAAGGCCCATATGCATGCGACCGCTAGCGCCACAAGGAGGCACGGCAGGGTGCCGTGCTTAACAGCACAGTAGAGGAGCCGGTTCCGTCCCTGTCGCCATAGGTTTTAGTGGGGATGCGGTAGCTACCTGCACATTATAACACATACTAGTTTCACCTGCGAGCAAACGCACAATTAACTTCGTCCCCGGCGCCTTCACCTTCGTCCCTTTCACAGTACTCCACATCACCTTCGTCCCTGACGTCCATCGGAGATGAGCAACAGGAGGAATCCTTCGTCATTTACGTCACCGCGTCCGACATGGACATGACGGACAAACCTGTCGTTCCCGAGCTCATCGCGTCCGACGAAGACAACACGGATGAGCCCACACCGCCGGTGGATTCGAACCAATTCATCACCATCTACATCCCCCGTCGGAGAGTGCACGCCCTCGCTAGCCAACCGGTGACGGATGACCAGCTACTTGTGATCGTCAGCAAGCCGAAGGAAGTGTGTGTGTTTCTCCGCACTGCGTACATGGTTGTTGGTATGATATTCACATGCAACGCACTGATGGGAGTGATCGCGAAAACGGTGCCAACCAGTGGAGCGGCCTCTCGCCCGCCCCACTATCTTCTCTGTCCCAGGATCAATCGCCGGGCTATCCTCTGTGATGGGTAACATTCTTTTTAGATGTGTTTGGTAGGGTGTATGAAGGGTGCATGAACCCAAGAGTTTCCTTCTTGACCCATTTTTGGGTGTTTGGTAGAGTGTATGGAGGGTGCATGAGTCCACATTAGCTTAGCATAAATACACTAGAAACATGCATGAAAAGAGCATGCATAAAGAGGGGTGTTGAGTTAAGCATGCATGAAGAGGAAACAATAATGCTGAGACGAGAACGCAACCAAACACACCTTAGCAAACCTCGTTTATGTTATTCAGTTCACTAGCATAGATCTTTGTTAGCTTCAAAAAAAAATCTTTGTTAGGCATGTATTTACTTCTTTCCAGAACCTTTGGCATGATACACTTTATTACCCCTATCTGATGACACGTGTGTGGCAAACAACTTGTTCATCACAACCGTGGCTTGCCACACTGTTGGAAGAAATTTACAGCAATGTGTTGTAAGTAACAAGACAAGTAGTTCTAGCAAAAACAAAACATATGTTAAAATAGCAACTTAGCAAGGTTTATATATAGACCAAAATTGTAGTCTAGAGCTTAACAAGAGATGATAGCAAAAGGAACACATCCAAATACAACAAGATTTTGTTAACCAAGGATTGTTGGAATAGCTAGAAGTTATCTTATCATTTAACACTATACTGCTTGAATATTCAGACTCAACAGCGTATTATTTCAGTAAGAAACAATGTGTATTTTATATCATGTACTGACATACTGATCATCCCATGTGTCCGTTACTAGAAAGGCATAACCTGTTAAAAGCAAGATACTTCCACTGCCCCTACTAAGATACTTCCACTTTAAATTGTTTAAATCGGGTTCACTATATGCTTATGATTATTGCAGTGTATTGCCTCTTGATGAAGTTTCGGAGCGAAAGAAACTTCCTTTTTCTCCTGCAACTTCAAGCAGGCTCAACTTCATTGCTTATCGTGATTTTCAACTGGACTAACTTTGGTAGGTTTTTTTTTCATTGGTTATTATATCTTAGATGAAAGTTTTTGGTTCTGACGCGTTCTTTGTGCATGAAACTTACAGGAGACACTCTGTTAGTTTCCTCCATTGAACTCTCTGTGATGTTTGTTTGCCTGACCGTTTACACACTAGCGGAGTTTAGCGTAGACCAAGGGGGGCCATGCCCCCCCCCCTATTTAGGCATTCATTGAAGATCATGCTAGCTTTTAGGCCTAATTAGTATTTCAACGAGTGATTAGCCCCTCCTGGCCTACTAATTTGTTCCCCTTTAGTCATGGCTCCCTCTTAAATTTTTCTCAAGCTCCGCCACTGGGTTTACAGCTATTTTTCTGTTGGTAAAGGCTATGCTTTCACCTACAAGGCCCCGATTTAGTCTCAACAATCCCAGCGATTCTCACAGTCCTGATAGTCCAGGTAAACACTTATACTTGATACTCTAAAATACTCAACAATGACAGCATGTGGCAGTATTGTTTAATTGAGTACTCCTTTCATATGTTCATGCCCATGAAGATGCAAGTTTGGCTCTTTTCAGCCGTTGCATGAATTTTTATCATTACTAGCACCCTGAGGAAGAGCAAGAAAATGCTAGATTAGGCATACCAGTGGCAAGGGGATTACAGGAGGCATTCTATTATATGGATATGTTGTCCGCAGATTCTTAGGACACGTGTCCTTTCTTTTCTTTCCGTGGAACTAAAGTACATTTGCATTCTATAGACTTGTCAACTCCATTGTATAGTGACTGAGTGACTTACAAGTTACAATAGTGTGTGTACTTATCAACTTGGTGGTGGTTGCTTTATAATTTACCATTTTTCATCAATGTAAACATAATGAGCATTCTATCCATTGCACGGGGTCAGGCTGCCCATACCTGATGATTGTTCTGTTCTGTTGTGTCCGCGTGCTAGATTGTTTTTCCATGTTAGTACAATCTTTTGTTTGCTGGGAGTGTGGTGGTTCTGCTGGTATGTGCCATTCTATGGAGGCCGCTGTTGTTCTGGTGTGGCGTGGACTGGCTTGTCGGATGTATCTGGGGAGTAAGGGGCTGTTTGGTTCCCAGCCACAGTTTGCCAAGTCAAAATTTGGCTGCCACAGTTTAATTGGCATGTGTTTGGTTTTTGCCATACTTTGGCTTGCCACACTTTATTGCTCCTATGGTCCACTTGTTATAGAGACAACTTTTTTGCCAGCTTTTGTCAAAGTTTGACGTTTAATTTTTCAGCCACACTTGTGTGGCTTGCCATACTTGTGTGGTTGGCCACATTTTGGCTTGGCCACATTAGTCTCCAACCAAACATACCCTAAATTACAGGAAACCATCACCTTGAAAGCTAGATTTGTAGAAAACACTATGTTACATTTTTTCGATAGAAAACACCATGTCGCGCGTAATCTTTTTGCAAAATGCACTGATCGGCGGATTTGGCTCGATTGAGCATGTTTATGACAGATTGGGCCTGCTAGTCAAGCTAACATGACACCGCCTAAGTAACGACGATGTTGACTAACGTTATCATCATGTGTGGCCCTGTGGGGTCCACCTGTCATTGAAAGAAAAAATCTAGTGCTCGTCAACCTCCCGCCACTGACCAATTCGTTCAGATCCGCTGCTGCTCGTCGTGTCCACCGTCGTGCCCTCTGCAGTCCACGAAGGAGCAGATGCGTGAGCTGCAGCCTCCGCTCCTCCCAATGATGTAGACGCACGAACTTGATGGGGGGACAGCAACCCAAGCGAGGCTGAGCCTCTCCTGGCAATGGAGGAGAAGGAGGAGCTATGGGGGAGGGGCAGCGAGACGTAAAGGAATGCGAGCAGCTGGTTGCGGTTGATGCTGATGGTGGTGCCGGCGGCGGCGGCGGGAGAGAGAGATGTGCGGGACTGTGAGAGAGAATGAGAGGAGAGAGAGAGACCGAACCCTAGTGTCTCCCCTGATTGGGGATGGAGCAGCAAATAGATGTAAGGCGCGTGAAACTGGGCCATGGAAATACCACTGGTGCCCTCGGCGGGGCATGTAAATTACAGGCGGTGACACGTGATATTTTTGGTAAAGGGTGCACTATTCATTGCTACAACGTCGTTTTTTTATCCAACGCTGAGCTCTTCCACGCGCGAGATCCAACGGCCGAAAACGCATCAGGCAACCAAAACGAATGGCCGGATTCGTCTAATCTCTATGGGTGTCCGGGAGCTCCCACGATTCTTGTTTCTGGATAAGGGTGTGGGTCTGTGGTCTGTTATAAAAGTAGAAGAAACATCGTGGCGTCAGTGGAAACGCCTTTTATCGCTTCATCAAATCTCGAGTGCCCTCTATTGGATTGGAGTTCCCTAATATTTGTTCACCAAACCTCAAGAAACTCCTAAAAGCAGCAACAACTTTCCCAAACGAGTGAACCAAAACCAAAGCACGGGAAACAAAGGCGCACGGGGTTGAGATTTTGGTTTCGTTCGGGCAACAGCTTGGCTAGCAAAACTTCCTTACATTAGCCCATTTTTTGGACAAATTCTTTCGGTTAACCCTAGCTCGGCGAAAGCACAGCCAACGCTGCCACAAATGTGATGTGAGGTCGTTTTCTTCTCCGTGCGCCGTCCGGTTTTAAACGCCAACGGTCGTCTCGGCGCCGGAGTCGTGGAGCAGCGCTCGCTTCTAGTAACCAATGGGGTGCCGTACCGACCAACGGGCGGGGCCCACGGCCATGACCTCTCAGTGCACCACAGCCCTGCGATCCTCCCATCGGGCGGTCCAGACCGCTCTCCTCCGACCAGAGAGAGCGGCCGCGCCCACCGGCGGGCCCGCCGTGCATGTTTTAAAGAGGCACGCGTCCGAGCCAGGTGAAGCCATGCCCTGACCCGAGTCAGACGGGGACGGAGCAGACAGAGCCAAGTAAAACAGCACCACCAGCTCTGCACCGCCGTGGGGCCGTCTCCCTCCGCCGCCGGAGCTGTAGCACCGCCGGTGAGTCCTCCTCCTTCTTCATTTATTCCCTCCCTTCCTCGCCCATCCGAATTCCGGACGGCATTGTTGTTTAAGCTTCAGCGAGCCAGTGACCTCATCGATCCATGGCTTGTTAATTCCGCAGAACTCGACTCGAGCCTAGCGAGAAAACCATTTTGTTTGCCGAGAGCAGCAACGGCAATTGGGTCTACCAGAGGCAGAGGGGATATGATCAAGGTACAGGCCCCGGAGCTGTACAGAGACAGCGGCGCGTTCGAGGCGAGGAAGAGGCAGTCGCTCAGGGCGCGGTACGTCTACGGGCTCATCTTCTTCGCCACCAACCTGCTGGCCTGGTTCATCAGGGACTACGGGGCCAAGCTGCTCGGCGGACTGCACCGTACGTTCGCCCTGTGCATTTCCTTCCAAACCTTCTGCATTTGCCATGAACGATGGATGAAACATTCTGAATTTGCTCTGCTCTGTACTGCTCTGCTGTCTGCTGTGATCTTCAGATATCCCGGTCTGTGGAGCAGGGGACTCGAAATGCTTCCGTTCTGGAGGGGTGCTCCGGGTTAGCCTGGGTTGCTTTGTATCCTTGGTTTAAACTACAAGGGGATAGGAATTGTTTTGTTTTGCACCTGAATTTCCGGATGCAGTCTGCATACTCTCCTTGAGGCGGTCTGCATTTTTGCATACGGTCCTCCAGTTCAGTTTCCACAGTCCTCGTCAAAACTAAAATGATACGCATGGGCAATGACATCAATGAACCGTTTGTGTTCCTTTCGTTCACTTCCTTACATCAAGCGGCAGATATTTTTCTGGGTGATGTTTGCCACAACATTTGGAACACGCAAGCTCCAGGGAGTTCGTAATTCGTGGCATTCTGGATGCTGGGCTCTCAAGTTTCTTGTGTATGCCGTGTCAATCGTCACCCCGTTTATCATCCCTAACATCTTCATCCAGCTCTATGGTAAGTTTCTTTTCGGCCCATAACTGTCACTCAGTAAACAGTAGTCACCTCTTGCCTCACTGCATGGTGTGCCACATTGTAGTTGCTGCAAAGAGTGAATGACATGGTTACCTTAATAGATGTGCACCAATGATACACTAAAAATGTTGCCTTTCCTTCAGATGATAATCATCATATCTGCTACATTTCACCCAAAATAAGTTCATTTCGTTTCAGTGTACCATTGCAAAATAATCATCATATCTTACAAAGAGAGAAATAGTCAAACTTCCAATGGTACGTAGCCTTTTTTAGAACAAATACCCAAACTAACCTGAAGGTGGAAACAAAAAACGGGTTAAAACTTAAAAAGACGCTTGCATTATTTTTAAGAAGACTGAAATTCTGTATGTAGATCGTTTGGTGAATGGTGAGCTTACAAATTTTGGGCAGGTAAAAGCGTCAATATGATATTTTATAAGAGAAAATAGGAGACATTCGGTATAGTCATTTCACTATGCTCAAACCCATTAACCCTAGTCAGAGACTCAGAATGTTATAATGATCCCATTTCACCTTTTTCCAATGGTAGTGCAGTAATTAGTATGTCTGCAATGATACATTGGAAATTCTCCCTTTTCTCTCAGCAATATATAAGAGAGGCTATGATTTAAGTGTCAAGGCCAAACCGGCAACTTACAGATCCTTTATTCGGAAAAAGAATGAAAACATGACATGAAAACCAATTTTAATTGATTCAGTAGCACTAGTTCCATTATAACTTTGCATCTGAGTAACAAGCCTAAACATTAGTGGGCTGAAGAAATCTACTCCATATCCTCTGCAGGTGAAATTGCTCGAATGGGTGCTGGGTAATCTTAATGATTCTTGTTTACTCCCTCCGTCCTTGAAAGAGTGTACTTCCAACTTTGTTGGAAAGTCATTTTTTTTATGTTTGACTGTAATTATACAATAATAGACCAACATTTATGCCATCAAATTAGTAGCATTAGATTCATGATAAAATATATTTTCGCTATATACCTATTTGATTTCACAAGCATTGACATATTTTTGCACAAACTCGGTCAAACTTTGAGATAGTTGACCCTCCAACAAAGTTGGAAGTACACTCTTTCAAGGACGGAGGGAGTATATTACTGAGTTTTGAGAAGTTTCAACCATTACATATTGCAATGGTTTTGAAATTTCCACTAAACTCACGTTGCATTACAGGTTATAGTTAATTTATGTTTCGTATTCCTCCAGGATATTTCTCATTCTGCAGCTTATAAGCATGCTCCACCTCATATCATGGTGCAATAAACGTTGGATGCCAGATGCTGGATCAAATCAATGGTACATAATTATTTGAATAGTCGGACATTTAATTAGCTGTGTTCTGGTGTCTCAATTACTTCAACGCAATGTTAAAACTATTTCAGGCCATGCCAAGGATGATGTTTTGTGTGCTTTTCAGCGGCCTGTTCGGATTGTTCTTGTCAACTGTCTCCTTCATTGCCTCATTTGCCGGAATCCTTGTGCTATATATTCTGTACGTTCCAAACTCATCATGTGTGTTCAACATCTTCACTATTATATGGACGGCAGTCCTAGTGAAGATAATGATGGCGGTGTCACTACACTCAAAGGTACGAGAATATTGCAGCTCCAGGCCTCAACTTAGTTATAGAGTAGTTAGTGATACAGTATTCAACCGGGGAACTTCTTAATTGAAACAAATGTTGACAAAAGAGAGGATTGAGATAAAGCATTGAAGTAGTATGAAACATAATTGATAGGCAAATTTCAAATAAATAAGTGGCGTTAGGAGCAGAAATAAGTTGAAATGATTGATTTTGGGAAATGTTCAGTTGGCACAAGAAAGAAAGAACATATGTTCAGTTACCATAAAGAAAATGACAAATGGTTGTAGTTACTTGAACTTTGGGGCAAATGATCAGATATCTCCCCTATCACATAGCTTCCCGTTACCACTCTAGAAACCTACTAAGTTCAAAACAACAGATCATTCCAATTTTATGCTTGTGCTACTGTTCTACAACTGCAATCAATACTAGTGCCCTATTGCTGCAGTGCTGCACCTCCATGTTTAACCGATAACCAAAACTGTTCATGCTCACCTTTTGCCTTGCATTGCTTCAATCTGCATAATGTGTATGATTTTAATTTATTTTTCTTGCTAAAAAGGTTAATGAGGGTCTTCTATCTTCTGGAATAATGGGCTCATATATTGTGTTCCTCTGTTGGTCTGCACTACACAGGTATTGTCTTATCCTTAGATTTATATTCCTCATTTGCCCTTCTACTTAACATTGCATTACCGAAAAAGGCTTTCGCCCCGCTTTACTTAACATTGCATTTGCGGCTCATTTTCATCAATTGCAATGTGCAGCGAACCACGAACTGGAAAGTGCTACACTGAGATGAAAATTGGCAAGGATGGTAATTGGGCTACTATAATTGTAAGTGAAAATTGTTAGTTTCTAAACTATGACCTAGTTGCACTCTTTGGAGGTTATAGTACCCTGAAATTGGCACCGAAATTTCTCTGTACATTTGCTTGGTGTCAAGATTGAAGATTCCCAGCCTGCTCCACTAAAAAAAGATAGCCAGCCTGCAAAATTGGACCACCTAGCGCCTCACCTGAACTAATGAGTGGATCCTATTTGTCCAGCTTTATTAAGGGCCTACCACAACTATGTCGGTGGTTTAGTCATACACATATCTTAGTGAAGAGCATCATGTAGCATTGTAGGGGTGGTGGGGTTCGCAACATATTTCCGATAGAGTGCACTCGCTATATATGTTAAGCATGTTCACTGTTTTTTCTGGATGGGCATATCTTCGCTTTTAGTTTGCTAGTAAATGCAGTCTTGATGTTCTAATTAATCGCTTTGTGCTTTGCTAGAGCTTCATTATTGCAATTTGCTCCATTGTGTCGGCCACATTTTCTACTGGAATCGATAACAGATCCTTTCAAGTAAGTTTTAACTATGAGTTTTCTGGATAGTATTCAAGTTCTCAGTTGGTATGCAAACAATCAGTTGTTCCACGTGTCCATAGGTGGAGGGACCAACCTGGGCTTTGCCATTTTTCTTCATTAAGTACCACTATGTGGAGCTCTTTTGCTAATTGCATAGGGCTGTTGGCACCTCCTTAATCAGTTGTTCCAAGAATCAGAATTACAGTTTAGTACATAATACTAAAAAGGCATGCAAATCTATGTTAATTGATTTTTTTCTGAAAGACTATGTTATTTAACACTGTCATGAATCTCTTCAATGCTGTGCACATTACCCACGATACTAACAAAATGTTATATTTTTCAGTTTCGAAGCGATGAGATCCGGTTGGAAGAGGATGTCCCCTACAGCTACGAGATTTTCCACATTGTGTTTGCGGTGGGGGCTATGTATTTTGCAATGCTATTCATAAGCTGGGAGCTTAACCATCCAATAACAAGAAAGTAAGTTGCATTGTGGAGAAATGCACCCATCCTTGTAATTTGAAGTGACAACATGCTTAATCATCGATGGGGTTCTAATATAGTTCAGTTCTTGCCTTCAGTGGCGTACTGCTACATTGCCACATTACATCTAGTAACATCCTCTCACATCCTCCCATTTCTCAAACAGGTGGAGCATAGATGTTGGATGGGCAAGCACATGGGTAAAGATCATGAATGAATGGCTGGCATTTTTCATATACGGTAAGTCGCCATTCTTGTTGTTTCCATGCAGCTCTGTTAACTGAAACATTTGCTTCCGCTTCACAAAACAGCTACCCCTTTGTTCACATTCAGTTTCAGTACACTAGAAGCCAAGTTTTAGTGTGTTTGTTCACTCATTTCACTTCGTATGTAGTCCATATTGAAATATCCAAAACATCTTATATTTGTGAACAGAGGGAGTAATTCTAAAGAATGGGGATCCTTTTTTTTTCTTTCAGAAACTGTCTGTCGCATTTGCAAATCCTCCTATTCATTGTGAATTATTTACTTATTTTGCATGTGGTTGCAGAGGACATGGTCCGAGTTAGCACTACTGCTGTAGTAATACTGACGATTTGTCCTCTGCACACTGCAGTTTGGAGACTGATCTCCCCAGCTCTGTCAAGGAAACGACCTGCCAACGATGAAGAGTCCGCCTCCACAATATAGTATTGACAATAGCTAATTATTCCTGACCAATTTTTTTGTAAGTCAATTCATATCTTATGCATATATACAACAAAAAATGTTCAGGTGTATTCTGTATGTATTACAGCCACACTATATCCCGCAAAAAAATGCACACTAGTGTGAAGTTTTGTACAAGTACTCAGACGTGGCCTGTGACTCCATCCAACTGCTCCCGAAGTCAAATTCTTATTTCAATGAATATTTAAAGAGTATATTTGTAAAATGTTCTCACCCACACCAACTACTTTTTTTGAAGAACCCACACCAACTACTGAAAATAAAGAACGTTTCAAATGCTTGAATGGGTCTTGCTCAGGCCCAATTATTCCATGGGCTCCTTGTGCGGAACGAGAGCCCATCTCAAGATCTTCCATCTAGAGCTCTGGCAGTGTCTTGCAAGGCATGCAAAGCACCGGGTAGAGAAGAGGGGGAAATCAGTGGAGCTCCAGTCTCAATCGCCTGAACTCCAAATGCAAAGCCGGTTTGCGCGTCCGCTGTCCCGTCACCGCACGCCCTAGTTTCCACCACCATGCCCGTTGCTGTCGATCCAGATCCCGATCCAAAAAAGGTGGAAGAATCGCATCGGTTCGTTAACCAGATGGCACGTTTCTCTTCTCTTCTCTTGTCTTGCGTAAACGTCTCGAGATGAGATGAGATGGCTGTACCCATCAATCCATCGTCGATCGCTAGTCAAGAAGGATCGCAGATAGATAATGGGCGGCTCAGACTGGCGTGAAGCAAGCAACAACGGTGTGCGTGTGTGGTTCTTGACTTACCGGTACCCTAATATTCCAGTGTGGCCTGGCCGCCATTTCAAAGTTCAAATCAAAGTATTCACCGCGTCACCGCCTACGTCGTACTAGTCTAACAGTACTGGCCAATTAACTACTCCTAGCTCGGAGCCGGCGGCCCGATCAGCCGGCTGCGCCGGAACGCGCGGCGGTGACTATTCTATGGAGAGCGTGCTTCAGAGTCTCATAGATCTGCACTGCACTGCTCGCATGTGCGAACACAGGCATACAGCTAGCCAGCATTCAGCACATGCAGTGTCTCTCAAGCAAGACCTCGAGCGTGGCCTTCGATTTTCTTTCTTTCCTTGGCTTGTAGTGTACCGAAAACTGAATGATGTGTGCAGTCTCAGGGAGGCTGATGCAAGCAGGTTTGGCCGTTTAGTTATCTGAATTCAAGATCTATAGTACTACAAAAAATGGTGCCAGGCCTTCCACGAAGCTATCATGCATCTTCAGAGCCATAATAATGTGGCTTCCTGCATTTCTTATTCCCGCCTACCATCATACTACCTGATGCAGTATAATCTTCTCCGAAACAAGTGCATTGTTATGTATATCTTGACTGTACCTACCTCTCACATTACCATCTATCGACCGACTATCCTACCACCACCTCTTAGATTCTTTTTCTCTCTCATCGTTATATATTTATTTATGAGATCTGCTTGACTGTTTCTTCACCTGACACTCTCAACGCTCCTGCAGCATTTACCAAGCATGGTTTAATGAAAACGTGTCGTACAAATGGGAGGTACAGGGCCACTCCATGTTAGTACCATACAGTGTTAAGCTCAGCTATATGAAAATTCACCGGGGCGAAATGAACCACCGAACTCATCATCGCAAGTGGGCGGCAGCACAAGCCACCATATGTACTATACCTCTGAAAGAATCCCTTGCCGGGACATCGTGTCCCATCTGAAATGCCACCACTTGAGCGATTGCCGCAAATCAGAATCATCATTACAGGAGTGTTCAAACAAAAGAATCATTACGGGACAGCACTGACATTTGACAAGATCAGCAGCAAATGGGAGCGATGAAAAGCAGAAGCCGAGAGGACAAACACACGACAAGATCATCGTGTCGCCTCCTTCGACCACCACGTCGCCGGCCGGCCGGCGAGGATTCTTGTGTCGCCGGTTGGTTCTTGCACTGCCTCACACACGCACGAGCTAGCCAGCTTCGTCAACCTCTTGATTGCAGGTTTAGCCTTGCTAGTGGTGGTAGTGTGTTGGGTTCTAGAGCCTCAGTCTGGTGATCTTAAGGATTGTCCTGATCGCCAGACCTGAGCTCTGCTGATGGGAGCATTGCTGTGGTGGTGTAGTTTCTTAACGAAAATCGAGGGGAAACTCCTTTTCCTCAAGAAAAGAAAAAGGCCAGCTTCGTCAAAAGCTATCGATGAAAGGCGGGCAATTGATTTCTTCTTGCTTCGAACCGTGAAAGCAGTTGAGCTAGCTCGCAATCTCCAATTGTTACCCGATCCAGAAAGAAAGGCCGAGAGTTGTTCTTTACGAGTAGCTTTAGATCACCGCCTTCTTTTCAGCGGATCAATCATGCTTAGGAGCCGTTTTGAAAATGAAAAATAACTAGTTTCGGTCAAGTAGAGTACTATTTTCCACAGGACGTGCGCCAAACCCTACGTTTTTTATTTCTTTCTAAATTTCTATCTACAGCGGAAGAAGAATGAAAGGAAAGTTGAACGCATGGCTAGTAGTAGAAGCCTGACGTGTCCAATCATTTGGTTAGGACAGACAAAGTGTGTTGGGATCATGATGCAATGGTGGTAGGTAAAGGCCAGGAAAAAACCCAATAAACTGTTTCAGCACTAGGAGCAGTACCACGTATGATTTGGGAACGAACAAAAAGTTTGCTCCGTCAGGCCAGGCCATGCATGATTCGTTCCTAACAACATGTTCCCTTCTCCCAGCTTAGCACGATCCATGCATGCTACAAGTGCTGCTAACTGATCATCCACCCATGAAACTTGGGCATGATTCCATCGAGATTTCTCAGCAATTTCATAGTTTGAGCAGTGGTGACCTCCTTAATTACATACAGTGTCTGCTTGTAGTAGTTGTGTTCCTTGTACATTTGCATTTGTGTCATGTCAAGAGATATTCTTTCCGGATACTTTAGGCGCCTTTTGAGCTGATCGCTAAGGCACACGGCCATCCACAACTTTGGCCCATGCGTGTAATCCATATCCAATATCTATAGGAGTATCAAGCTACTTTTAGACCAGTAACATCGCGTAGATACACATACGTACACAGGAGTAGATAACTACTCGGGCCATCTCTCTGCATCCAATCATAGGCTCGCTTTTCACAGCCGAATAATAATGCACTGCCCAAGTCACGCGCAACTGAGAACAATTAACTACGATCAGTATCTTGAACATATTTTTGTGTACTCCTCCTCTATGTAAAACATATACTACTTGTCTACTTCCACTTGCATGTAGTACAGGCCAGGCCAGGGGCCGGCCATGTTATTTGGCCCGTGTTCTTGCGTGTGCTAGCTACAACGGAGTAGTAGTATAATTTTTGTAGGGTGTGATGTGTCGAGCGCGCGCTTATTACGGCCAAACACGCTTCGGATCACGTTTGCCGACGGCGCTGTGTTTATTTCTGCACGTTCGATCGACATCTCTCTATCCTACCGATTCTTTTATCTGTCGATCTTGGAGGGGCCGGGGCCGGCGCCGGCGTCGCTTTTGAGCGTGACCGCCACTCCACTCGAGTTGCATGAGTGCGATCACACCGTGTCGCTTTGCATTTTTGCGGTACACGCACGCGTGGCTCTTGACGTATAGGCCGGCTCCATGAAACCCTTCTCTCTGCGTGCGTGGATAATTGCTTCCACGAACTGTTCGGGATAGACTCGACACTCGACAAGTTAAGCAGCACATGGGAGATATGTAGTGTAGATCCTGCGAACTTGTCATTTCTTTCTGATAAAAAAGTTGGGATATGATGCTTGATCTGCGTGTGTTGACGGGACGGGTTTGAAAGACGGGCTTGATCTGGGTTTGGCGTACACATTGCTTTGCAAGAAACTCAAGAATTGATCGCGAGCACTGTTGCAGTACAGAAGTGGCAGCGCCAGTGGCAAATAGCAAATGGAGTTTGTCATGTGGAAAAAGGCCGAAAGAGAGATGGTTTGTGGCAAAACCACTAGCACTAGGGTTTCAATCTCAGTGAGTTGGAAAGCAGCTCGGTCGTCCAAGGTCCAAACCAACAATTCGATAGTGCACACAAATTGGTTACGTACTTTCACATCGTGATTATTGCTTCTAAATAGATAACTCGTTGAGATGTTAACCATGCATGGTCGTTCTAAACGTGCGATAAAAAAAACTAAAATGTCTACTTTGTCTGTTTGATTTGTGTGAAATTCACGCATGTACACACAATAATTATAATTGTATTAAAAATAATTTTAAATATATCCTCTCTCCATTTCATAATGTAGTGCGCCCGCGCTTTCTGAGATCTAAGTTTGACTATAAATTTAATCAACGAGACCAACTGCGGCGGGGCAAAAATTATACCACTAAATTTGTATTTCAATATGAATTCAGTGGTATAATTTTTGCTCCTACCGCAGTCGATCTCAAACTACGAATACAGTGGTATAATTTTTGTTCCCGCCGCAGTCGGTCTCATTGGTTAAATTTATGGTCAAATTTAGATCTCGGGAAGCGGGGGCAAATACATTGAGGAATAGAGAGAGTATTATTATATGGTGCATGAATTATGTTATATTGGTCATATTGTTGATCAAGGGGGAACCAACAAGTGGTTCGCTGGTTAAGAGGATGGTGTTCTTTCCAACCCATTAGTACCTTAAGTTTTGATGCTTTGATATCTCATTATGATGACTAATTCTTTCAATGGGAAACGGCATTCTCATCGATAGTGAAGAATCTATAGTGTCTTTCATCAATTTTGAAGCTGACCGACTCTTTTTTTTAAAACGGAGGCAAAAGATTTGCTTCACCCAGTAATAAAGAAGAAGTTTAGAGTTGCTTTTACAAACAAAAAAGAAAGCAAAATACAAAGTTTCTACTCTCGCGGCATGATGTTTCCTGAGGGTTTCATGCTGGCGGTGACCCAAAGCCTAGCCTCATTCTTGATGTTCGAAGACCCTAGCATTTCGCCCACCCAAATTGTCCAACAAGTA